ATGAGTTGAAGTGGTCTTGGTGTCTATAGTGTCCCTTTAAATATGGGGGGGGGGGGAATTCAGATCAAATGGGTTTGGGTTCTGAGTTTGCTGTCATGTCCACCCTAGTATGGAAAGCGGACATTATTTAGCATGGAATGGCTACTGTAAGTTTTAGCATCTTCCACAGAAATCCATAACTACCAGTCGTAAAATGAATGCGGTTCTGTAACATGGAAACAGTTAGGCATTGACTGGATTGTTGCTAACTATTAGTGATGAAAGTAGAAACGAGCCATTAGCTAATATGAGAATATGTTAAAACCCTGCAAAGTGCTAAGTAGACCACATTTTAAATTGTCAAGTAATTTCATAATAATAAATGTAAAAATTTTTTTTTTAAATGAAACAATGTAACATTAATATTTAATTACCCAGTGCAGTTCTTCCATATTGTTTACATATAACTATTATATGTAGATAGTGATAAATACATTTTGAAGTGAAACAGTCACTCCTTACCTGGCCCCTTGCTCCCCCGCTAAACAGGTAGGTGTTACCATAGGTGTGCACACGGGGTGTGCCGTGTGTGCCTGGGCACACCCTAATCCCTGCGGCATGCCTATGTATATTGAGACCGGCAGGGGAGATCTCAGGAACTCCCCTGTCAGCTCATGCAGAGCCAGCGCTATCCGAGCGCCTGCTCTGCTCTCAGCATCCCTTCCCACTGACCCACAGGCAGGGAGGGAGGCAGGAGAGGACCGGCGGAGCTATTGCCGGCAGCTCCGCTGGGTTCCTCTTGCGAGATATGAGCGTTGCCACGACAACGCTCAAATCTCGCGAGAGTGAACTCTTGCCCTAAGGGGCTAGAGTTCACTCTCCACTGGACCACCAGGGATGGAATCAGCAGCACGATCCCCCCTCCCTACAAAAGGTAAGAAGGGAGGGGGGATAGCAAGTAATGTACCCCCACCTCCACCCGCACAATCACCCACCCACATACAGCACACACACATAGAACACCCACAGACATACAGCACCCACACACCTACAGCACCCACACAGCACCCACACACATACAGCACCCACACACATACAGCACCCACACACATACACAGCACCCACACACATACAGCACCCACACAGCACCCACACACATACAGCACCCACACACATACACAGCACCCACAGACATACAGCACCCACAGACATACACAGCACCCACAGACATACAGCACCCACAGACATACAGCACACAGCACACACATACAGCACCCACAGCACAGCACCACACAGACATACACAGCACAGACATACAGCACCCACACACACACACGGCACCCACACACATACAGCACCCATAGACATACACAGCACCCACATACACAGCACCCACAGACATACACAGCACCCACAGACATACACAGCACCCACACACATACAGCACCCACAGACATACACAGCACCCACACACATACAGCACCCACACACATACAGCACCCACAGACATGCACAGCACCCACACACATACACAGCACCCACAGACATACAGCACCCACATACATTCAGCACCCACATACATTCAGCACCCACAGACATTCAGCACCCACACACATACAGCACCCACACAGGACCCACACACATACAGCACCCACACACATACAGCACCCACACACATACAGCACCCACAGACATACAGCACCCACACAGCACCCACAGACATACACAGCACCCACAGACATACAGCACCCACAGACATACACAGCACCCACAGACACATACAGCACCCACAGACATACACAGTACACACCCATACAGCACCCACAGACATACAGCACCCACACAGACATACACACACACACACACACATACAGCACCCACACACATACAGCACCCACACACATACACAGCACCCACACACATACAGCACCCACAGACATACAACACCCACAGACATACACAGCACCCACACACATACAGCACCCACAGACATATACAGCACCCACACACATACAGCACCCACACACATACAGCACCCACAGACATGCAGCACCCACAGACATACAGCAACCACAGACATACACAGCACCCACAGACATACACAGCACGCACAGACATATACAGCACCCACGGACATATACAGCACCCACACACATACAGCACCCACACACATACAGCACCCACAGACATACACAGCACCCACAGACATACAGCACCCACAGACATACACAGCACCCACAGACATTCAGCACCCACAGACATACAGCACCCACTGACATACAGCACCCACAGACATACAGCACCCACATACATACACAGCACCCACAGACATACACAGCACCCACACACACATACAGCACCCTCACAAACACACACAGCACCCTCACACACACACAGCACACTAACAGTACCCTCACAAACAGGACCCTAACAAACACACACACAGCACACTACCAGTACCTTCACACACAAACAGCACCCTCACAAGCACACACACACACAAACAGCACCCTCACACACAGTACATTAACAGCATCCTCACAAGCATGCACACACAAACACCCTCACCCACATAGCACACTACCAGCACCGTCACACACACATCACACTAACAGCACCCTCACACAGCACACACACACACACAGCAGTGTGTGTATGTGTGTATATATGTGTATGTATATATATATATATATATATATATATACACATATATATATACATACATACATACATATATATATATGCGGCGTGTGCTTGTGCTTTAGGGTGTTACGCTTCTGTAGGACCCACCTCTGGACCACTCTCACTCCTCCTTTGGTGTTTCTTGATTTGCCCTGCAAGAAAAAACCTCCTCCCTGAACTTTGTTGTCAGAATCTGAATGGAGTGATATCACATTACTCCGTTCTTATACTCCCTAGCCAGTGCTATCAGTGCCGGCTGTGGAGTTACCATAGCAACCACAGCACAGGCTGTGGTTGCTATGGGTGGAGAGCAGAGGGACCTCATGTGAAAACAAAATAATTTTTATATTTTTTTCTCCCAATCTATACATCTATACACACAATGCATAGATGTAATCTTAAGCTCTTTTACAAAAAGCTATAGTAAAAAGTAGCATGACAGTTTCATTTTAACATATATTTCTTATCCCTAAGGGATAACCACCTACCAAATATATACTGAGCTTCAAATCCTTCCGCGTTCTTATTTCTGTCCGTGTGGAGAACAATGAGCATTGATGTCTCTTTGGATTTTCTAATAATATTTTCAGAGGTTCCACAGTACCTTCCAATGAGTTTGGAATTATTATTTTCATCTCCATCAAATATCAGTAAGTTGTCATGTATACAGAAGTCGCTCTCCTCGAGTATAGCCTTGTCCATCTTTAAAAAGATCTAGAATTCAAAAAACACCTTGAATGTCCATCTGGTTTCCAGGAGCAAAAGAATATCTATAGGCTGACGCACCTAGTTGTTCGATTTAGTAGTTAAATCACTTTGTTTATAAAGCTCTAGCCTCCCTTAGCTGTGATACACAACCACCATGGATTCTTTTACAGCATAGTGAGTTTACTTTAGAAGTTTTCTTTCTCCTTCTCGGTTAATTGAACTTTAATCACACACAGGAGGCTGTAGTATCCTCCTACATGCAATTAAATTCTAAATTAAACACACTCTGCAATAAGGGAAGCTAAAAAAAAAGTTAGATTTTTTTTTAAAGAAGTTTCTAGGGAGACTGCATGAGTCACAGCCAGGAGAGGTGTGGCTAGGGTTGCATAAACCTTTAACTCATACTTGGCAGCTCCTAGTAGGAGCTTCCAGCTCCCATAGCTGAAGAAAATAGGTAAGTAGGTAAGTAGCAGCATCTGGTGGATCCTGGGTAAGAGTTGAACTGTTTGACAACTCACACTGGGGGTTACCAGAGCATACCTGGTGCCATAGACACTACAGCACACCGTAGTGGTTAAGGTGCTTGGAGTGTTTCTTTATAAATGAGGCAAAAGTGTCACTGTGATGTCTTTTAAACTTAGGCTTTCCTCCATTATACCACTATTTATACCACTATTTAATTAACAATACATTTAGAAAGTGACTTTTCCTTCACTGTGAATCAAGCTGTGCTCTACGCCATGTCCTTACCGTGTGGTTCTTGGGTGCAGTGATATGCCACTCGCAATCCAAACCTGGAAAATATTTCTCAGGATATCCAGGAGATGAGAAGCTTCCGGAATGTGTGTGGAATGCGTTGCCACATTGCACTTATGAAAAAGAATGATATACAGATAAAAAAAAATTGCCAGTGTAGCAACCAACGATCTTTTCACAACAGATTCTCATGCTAATGGCTGCAGCAACAGCAGCTCCTTGTCTCTGGCATATTAAATTAGTGTAACATCTGAAACACATTGTGTGCTGCTGTATTTGTTTATAAGCATAAAATGATTTTTTTACTCCAATGCCCATGGTGATAAAGTTATTAAAGGATTACTGCAAGCACCATGCCTACTTCAGTGCTTTGAAGAGGTCATGGTGCTTCATGTCTGTATGTCTGTATGTGCAGTGTTTCAGTAAGAAACGAAAGTTCGGGGCTGCTGATGTCAACTATCCATAAAAGGCATCTGTCCTCAGGATGTGTTGGATGCGGCTCTGTTACAGCATACAGCAGCCTCCTGTGTGTGATTCAAGTGCAATGAGATAAGAAATTCTAAAGTAAAACACATTGTGCTGTAAGATCTGATTGAAAATTTTTCCTCTCCCATGGAGGCTATGCGAGTCACAGCCAGGGAAGGTGTTTCTAGGGTCGCCTAAACAGAAACAAAATTGATTTAATCCATAAATGGCAAAACCTGCTTCAACAACTTGTTTTGGTGCTTAGAATATCGCTTTAATTGCCAGACAAATTGCTTCCATAGTAGATGGCCCTAAAAGGAACTTTACGGAAGTAAGCATGGCTTGTCTAATTTTATAGCAAGACTGATTGTTACAGATTTATTGAACTATGAAAATCACACCTAAAAACATCAACCTTTTCTGTACGAGGCTTTGAACCCTTTTCCGGTCAAGTTTCCATCACTAATAAACTCCACCAGCATCACATTAGAAGAACTCATCAATGGAGGTGGATTTTCTTCTCCACAAAATCTCTGAAGAAGAACTGGAGAAGATCTACTTGCCCCGTCATAGATATTAATGTAGTCGGACTCGCAACTTGGTGAAGGTTGAACATCAAAGCTTTCGAATTTCAGATATACCTGAGAAGAGAAATAAGGCGCTACAGGGCGATTAAACAAATCCCTTTGTATCAATAATTCCCAGTGATATTTATTGTTGAAGTTGATCCTACTTATATACCAGAATTAACATTTGTATTTGTATTTTCAGCATCACTTTTCCTAAAGTATATATTTGCCACCCTCTCCATATAATACTTTCTTCTCTTACTGCTTAGACTTATGGTCTATTTTATTGCAACCGATAAAAAGCATAAAATATAGTTATAAACTCAGGAGTTGTTCGAACAATTTCATTGCCAGAGAGAAGGCCAAGATTACACATAATATCGCAGGCTATTGCAAATGGGCTTGCGTGAAAAAAGTATTACTGTGTAGTCTTGCCCAGAGCACCTGTGCCCAGTCCTGGGTAAAAAAAACAAAAAAACTCCTATCCAATATTTAGAGTATAAAAAAATAATAATAGAATAAGTAAAAGTAGCAATGTAGTATAATAAAATTAGATACAGTAAATGATTTGCAATAAGAAAAAAATGGGAAATAAAAGTATGTAAAGTAGAAAACAGTCTAAAAACCCAATGATATAGTAAAATTGCAAAACACCTAAATGAAATACTGTAATAAAACACTGTACTGAAATGGGTATAGAAAAGTAAAATAAAATGGGAAAAATCAACCAAAATCAGGAAAAAGATTAAGTTAAGTAAAGTTAAGTATTTATTAGAGAGTCCATGTTACTGAATTATCAAAAACAAAAAAGTAAGAAAATCCAAAAGAGTTCATATAAAGTCCAAAATATGGCAAATCAAGTCTGGGCATTGTTGCAGCCAATAGGAGCGCAGCAGCACTGCAATCAAGTTACTGGATCTTGGCTTGTCTACTAGGTTGATTTAGTACTTAGAATGACAACTGCAATTCAACAGGCAAGTACAAGAAACCTGTAACCTAGTCAAATATCAAAAATGACCACATGCAGTAACAGAAGTGTCCACTTGGTGACCTCAGTGTACCTTGAAATTACAAAGGACAATCTGATGTTTAAGGAACTGACCATTTGTTATATTAAAATGTGTCCCCTTGGTGGCCTGACCGTACCAAAAAGCATACAATCCAATCCAATTCAAATCTTATTACTTTCCCTTTTTTATTTCGATTCATTTAATGTATCTAATTTTATTATGCGACATTACTACTTTTTATTATTTTGACTTTTTTATACTCTAAATATTAGTTCCTGGATACCTCAAAAATCGTTTATTGAAAGTTAGAGCAAAATGAAGAAAATAAATAAAACACGGAGAGTTACATCTAAACAGAGTATGTTTTTTGAAAAGTGTCCCTCTCTTAGACACGGTTAAAAATACAACACTTTGGGGGTGATTTATCAGTGTTCTGTTCTAAAAAGTGGTGCAAAATTATAGAAGGGGAGGAGTCACCAATGACATGCGCATGATTCCACTGGTGATTGTCCCCCCTTTCTAAAACAGAACACTTTGACACATCTCTATTCTTTAAATAACCACAACTGTTTCAGGTTTACACTTCTGTATTTCTGTATGCGTTCTCTGTGCTAACAGTCTGGTGAAAAAGACAGAACTCCCTTTCAGTCCTTGTTAAAAGCCAAGTGTAGCACACGTGTAAGACCTTAGCACATCAGTTATCTAAATAATTTATGTGTTTAGAGCTGCTTTTGAGGCAGCACATCTACTCGTAAAGTTTTCGCTGCAAGATGTTCCACTTAGAGTGTGTAAACTCTTATCAGTAGCAATAAGATTGCAAGTTTTATCACAGTTTTGTCGTTTTCTATGTGAAAACGAATTTCTCCTTAAAACTATTTAATGAATGTGATAAAGTCTCGGGAACAAAATTGCACAATCTCAAAGTTAGTCTCCAATTTAAAATCTCGTCCTTTTTCATTCAAATCTTGCATATATCCATAAAAAGAAGAAAAAAAAATCTTGCCCTTTAGGCATTATTAAGGTATTTTTATGTTAAAATATTTAATGCGTGTCTAAATTTCATAACTAAAAAAACAACAAAATATCTACTTCTATAATTTTTTTGTTAGCTTCTCTTTAAAATTATTATTTCCTTGGAAATTATTCTTCGTAGTGTTTCAACCAGGAAGAAAGTACCTTCAACTTGCCTTAAAACGACTGTTGGTACTTAACTAAATAAGCATACCATATGGGAAAACTTTTTTTACCTTTTGAGATGGTATTCTGATTAACCAGACACACGTAGTATTGTCACGATAGGCAGAGGGATAACCTGGTGAAGTCAGTGTTCCATTGGAACCAGAAAGCAAAGTGGAACAAATATCTAAAATGGATTGAAAGGAAATTGAATTATACAGTAAGAGCTGATGTACAGACACGATAAATTCAACTCACATTTCTGAAATCTATAAAACTGGCACAAAAACAAACAAACATGTTTTCAGTGTTAGCTTTAGCGTTTACGTTTGATAAGGTTTGAAAAGAAGTTAAAATGTGTTTAGAAGCAAAATTTAATTTCTTGAAGAGATTTAAAAAGTTAAACAAATATATTGTGTCACTTTCAACTGCCAGTAGCAATCCATACCACAATGATACAGTAGATTTATTTTCCTCACATCCAGATTACTCAATCCATCTCTTTGTCCAATTGAAGCCGTTGTATTTATTTTGGGAATTAAGGTTGGTTGGCCTGGAGTGTTTGTAAAAGCATACCTAGGAAAAAGAGAAAAGAACCCAGCAGATCACTAAATGTAGATGTCCGATGTAGATTCTGGAGTTCTCAGTCAACATACACAGACAAGTGTTTTGGTTGGATGTATCTATTGTACAAGTAGATCAAAGTTACTTTGGTGGATACATAGAAAGATCAGTTAGCACAATATTCTACTGAAGAATTATGTTTTAAACTCAAGAGAAAAATGCATTCTGCTACAATGATGGGTGCGATAGTGAAAATTTCCACTACCTGAGTCCATCAAGTTCAGCCTCACATCTTTTTGCTATTAATCCAAAAGAAGGCAAAAATCCCAGTTTAAACTAATTTTGCATCAAACTGGAGGAAAAAATCCTTCTTGACCCTAGAATGGCAACCAGATCTCTCATTGATCAAAATTATCCCACAAATGAAAAATTCTATCCCTTAATATTATTTTTGTGCAAGTGTTCATTCAATTACTGTTTAAAAATCTGTACAGACTCTGATAAAACCACCTATTCAGGCAGAGAATTCCACATCCTTTGTGTTCTTACTACATAAAAAAACTCTATTTTGCCTTAGACTAAATCTCATTTCTTCCACTCTAAATGCATGACATTATGTCCTATGTTTAGTCCTGTCTATGAATAAATTTCCAGACAATGGTTTGTATCGGACCCGAATATATTTGTATAATGCTATCATATCCCCTCTGAGTTTCAGTTTTTCCAAACTAAAGAAATTTACATTTGTTAACCTTTCTTCATAACTAAGATGTTCCATTCCCTTTATTACTTTTGTAGCCCGCCTCTGCACTTTTTCTATTGCCATAATGTCCTTCTTTATACCAGGTGCCCAAATTTGCAAAGTGTATTCAAGGTGTTTTCTTACCAGCATTTTATAAAGAGGCAAAATTATATTTTCATCCTGAGAATTAATTCCCCTATTTATAGACGACAATAACTTACTGACTTTAGCAACTGCCGACTGACATTGCACATTGTTGCCTATAACAATTCCCATATATCAAATTCCCAATTCCTAAATTCACATCTCGTGCAAGTTCCGTAGAACTTGGCTATAAGAGCATAAAAAGGCAAGGTGTGCAGATGATGCATAAGCAATTGTGTGGATGCCAATGCCTGCCCATTTGATGTCAGTGATTGGGGAGTGGACTCTGGGTGCCTGAGATTTAGTTTAAGAAGAAAAATATGCATTTGAGTTCTGGAGGGACAGCTTCCTAGTACCATCATGTAGGGCGTTGGTGATTGGAATGTCCCTTCAATCAGCAGTACCAAGTTACAGTAGTGCATTAAATAGTGTTAGAAAAACTCACATGGAATAGTGCATTACAGACTCAAAATCATATTCCACACCCAGTCTGTGAGTCTCGGCAACTTCAAAGTGATGGAGATTTTCTAGAAGGAAATATGACATGAAAGAAATTCTGAAAGGCTATTCTCCATGTCACATATTTATAAAAGTAATAATTCCATATACAAGTTTCTTAGAAAGAATTCATCAAGACTGAAACCTCAGCTGACTTTCTCCAATTTGCATATTATGAACTAAATGGGACTATACATGGGACACATGGAGGGGAGGGGGGAGAAAGGGAGGGGATGGGACACCTGGAGGGGAGAGGGAGGTATAGGACACATGGTGGGAGGGAGAGAGGGAGGTATAGGACACATGGAGGAAGGGGAGAGGGAGGGTGCCGGACACATATGGAAGGGGAGAGAGGGTAGTATATATGGCACCCATGGAGGGAGAGGGTTTTTAGGACAGTATGGGGAGGAAGATAGGAGGAGTGTGGACACATGTGGGAGAGGAAGGGGTCAGGAGGTATGGGACACATATGGAGGAGGGTGAGAGGAAGGGTGCACATGGAGGGGAGAGAGATGAGAGAGGAGGGGGAGGAGGGGGTTTTGGGACACATGGGAGGAGGATAGAGGAGAGGGCATTGGACACATGTAGGGAGGAGGGAGAGGGGTATAGGACACATGGAGGGAGGGTGAGAGAGGGAGGAGTATGGGACACATGGAGGGTGAGAGAGGAGGTTTGGGGTTGTGGAGGAGGGAGGAGGATAGAGGAGGGGGGTGAGGGACATGGAGGGGTGAGAGATGGGAGGGGAGGAGGATATGGAGACACATGGAGGGACATGGGGAGGGTGAGAGGGATGAGTTGGGACACATGGAGGGAGGGAGAGAGGGAGGGTATGGGACACCTGGAAGGAGGGGAGAGAGGATGGTATGTGACACATGGAGGGAGGGAGAGGGAGGGATATGGGACACGTGTAAGGAGGAGGATAGGGAGGGTTTTGGACACATGTAGGGAGGGAGGAGGGGAGGCATGGGACACATGGAGGGAGAGGGAGAGGGAGTGGCACTGGCACACATGGAGGGAGAGGGAGAGAGGAGGGCATAGGACACATGGGACACCCTGGGAGGGGAGGGGAGAGGGAGAGTTGGTATGTGACACATGGGGAGGGAGGGGAGGGGATATGGGACGCACGTGTAGGGGAGGAGGATAGAGGGAGGTTTTGGGGACACACATGTAGGGGAGGGAGGAGAGAGGGAGGGTATGGGACACATATGGAGGGAGGGGGAGAGGGGAGGGACAGGAGGAGGAGGGAGGAGAGGGAGGGTATAGGACACCTGGAGGGGAGGGGGGGAGAGGGGGATGAGATGTGACACATGGAGGGAGGGAGAGGGGGCTATGGGACATGTATGGGGAGGAGGATAGAGGGAGGGTATTGGACACATGTAGGGAGGGAGGAGAGGGGGCATGGGACACATGGAGGGAGGGTGAGAGAGGGAGGGGTATGGGACACATGGAGGAAGCGGTGAGGGAGGGTTTGGGACACATGGAGGGGAGGAGGATAGAGGGAGGGTATGGGACACCTGGATGGGAGGGGGGAGAGAGGGAGAGAGTATGGGACACATGGAGGGGACGAGGGAGAGAGGGCAGAATGGGACACAGGGAGGGGAAGAGAGGGAGAAATGGGAAACATGGAGGGGCTGGGAGGGAGGAGGGTATGTGACACATTGAGGGGCTGAAGGGGAGAGGGAATTGGACAAATGGAGGGGCTGGAGAGGAGGAGGGTATGGGACACATGGAGGGGGTGAGGGGCAGAGGGAATGAGACACATGGTGGGCCTGGGCATGGTATTGAGACACATGCAGGAGCTTTGAAGAGGGAATGAGACAATGGGGGGAGAGAATAATAAGACATCCAGGGGAGGAGGGGGCAGGTAATTTTCGCACCGGGGCCCTGTGGATTCTAGTTATGCCTCTGATCGGGTACATTGCCTTTTGCACCTGGGTCGATGTTTTGGGGGAGTACTGTGACATATTGATCCCGATCGGACCTGGACTGTTCATGTTGAAAGCCTAGAGCATGATTCAGTTCATGCTGAACAATCCCTTTGTTCATACAGTCTGGAATCATCAGCGATATCACCTGCCCACCCTGCACCATTCCAATAGATGACCAGCACCTGCAAGCATATACATGGACATAGAGGGTTGTAAGATGTTTAAAAATATAAAGGGAATCATTCCAACGCAGGTTCTTTAACTAGATAAACAGAATCTGCTACCATTTGTGTTTTAATACTTAAAACAAAAACTACATATAATGGGATGGACCCCGAGTCTTTCAACAATATCAATTTGCTTCCTTATGAAATGATCTACTAATCTAAAATCAGATCACTGGATGTATTATGGAAGTTAGATTTACAACTGATAATCAATTTTAGTTTAAAATATAAGTATCAATGGTTCTCAATACTTGTATTTGGCAAGTGCATATCAGTTTTGGGACTATTTAGATTGGGACGGTTGCTACTGCCATAGGGTTCCGCCAGGTTACTATGGCAATGCTCTGACTCATTGAGCTCCAGAGCATATATGTGGTCTGCATCGGCATTAGGTGCAAGCCACATGCCCTTCCACTGGACCACGTGGATCATACTCCCGTTGGACCACATGGGACTGTGGCAAACCTAGCCACTTCAGACTATTTTGTTTCACTGTAAGGGTTGCCCTAGAAAGACTGGATTATGTAGGGTTTGATGTGGTTGTTTAAAATGTGAAAGAGGGAATTCGTATGCTAGTGGCACGAAAGCCGCTAGCATTCATACGGTAGTTTCACGAACAGTGATTTGCAACACTGTTCGTGAAACGAACAAAGTACCGAATGGAAGCCCACACACAGGGGGCCGTGTGGCTCCCATTAACCGATCACAACAATGTATCTATCGGCTGTTAATTGATTCCCCAGGTGGCCGTCGTTCGGCTACCGACCACGAGGCGGCCATCTTGGATTCCCTTTTTGCCCAGCGGTGTTTGGTCGTCGAGTGCCTGGAACTAAAATCGGCTACTCGACGGCATGAACACCGCTGGACTTCCAGGCCGTTCGGGAGCGCCGGTCTTTCGGTACTTTTTCTCCACCTATGTATTCGTGACTTCTATGAGGAATGTATGTTAAAGTATATTTCATGCGGCGTTCGGGTGATTGGGCTGGGATCTGAGCGGTACTTTTACGAAGTATGCACTCAGACCCCAGCTATCTGCCAAACGGTCATTCGGTACAGTGGCATGAATAAAATAGAAGTTAGGTATTTTTATGTAAAAAGCCAGTTCTGCTGTACGAAGGGATAATCCACTTAACAGGATATTCTAGTGGGAGTATCCCTCTCATACAGCAGTGCATGGTGGGAGAAATGTTCTATATGTTAAGTCCCCCATGTAGTCCCCTACTGTAAAACCACTGTAAAGTCAGTAAGGAAACCCCTTGCATTGGGAACCACATAAATACTGGAGCTTGTGAATAAAATTGTCAGTTGACTCCCAGAACTGTGTTTCGTCCGGTTACTGGGGGATTTGGGATATTGCCTTCATTTTCAGCGCTTTCTTTGGATTACTTTCTGTACCAGCGGAGATATTGGGATTTAATATTGCAGCTCTGCTACAGGGACTTAGCCAACACCACACTTAATTAAATTCAGGCAAATACATATACTTTCTTTTCATGTAATTTGTAAAAATTCTGGTAATTTTTTAGTATTGTGTATATTTTTATTTTTTCATTAATATCCATTTTCGTGTATGTGTTATTGATTTCAAATCGGTTTGTGTTCTATTCATTAAGCTGTTCCATGAGTAATAAGTTATATTACTCACCGATAGCAATTGTATATTTAGCTACATTGTTGAAATTAAAAATATGCATTTTGTAACCTAGATCACTTTACAAATGTCCTGGTTTACAAACAGGAGGTTCAACTACAAAGGGGTATACTCTGACACAAGTTGTATGCAGAGGAAACTTTAGACTTACCCATTCAAAGGCTGAATGTCAATAAAGTTAAATTCTTCTGCACGAGGAACAAAATACGCACAGGTCATAGTTTCAAACTCTTCCATGGCACTCAGAATGAGAGAGACTTGACTGTCGGCTAAATAAATTAATGATGACACTTGTAAAAATGAAATAGGCACAGACAGTACAGGAGATAGATCTGAAAGTCAGGTACTCACTGTAATTGGGATGAATGGTGTATGGAACTGGCACCTTCCCACCATTGTTTGGCCAGATACATGTAAAACAACTCGTGGCACTACGTGAGCTTCCCAGTACAATATCCCCCTGGTATTCCACACTCAAGTGTTCTAAAACAAGCACATTTTGTTGTCCAATGAATCATGGGACATTTAACCAAGCTAGAAAAATTAACGAGTTTGGAGAGGCAGTAGGATGAGTGGGGGATGGGCAGTGTAGAAGGTTAGAGTTTAAATAAAAAGAACAAAAAAAAAAACCAAGGAAAATATTGAGTAAAACGAAGGATAAGGAGATATGAGAGGGATGTGTACCAAGATGGGCAAAGCAGTTTTTAGGAAGAGATGTGCAGGGGTAGCATAAGCTGAAAGATAAGTTAGGGAGGATAGGGAAAGTCAATGTAAGATGTAGATAGTGGTTATTAAAAAAGTAATACACTGTTACAATATTCAGTTACCTTCATTTATTCTTAAAATTCTGCTAAAGACATCCTCTTCACTCTCGTTGGTCGTGATGTTTTCAGAATCTTCTAGGATGAAAATCACAGCTTGCATACCACAACATTAACTGCACTAAATAACATCATACTACAAATAATAGCTTTTAGTTGAGTTATAGAACATGGGAAACATTTGTGTTGGTCATGATAACTATTACTTGTGTAACACAACATTTGGCAGGGGTTAGCTAGTGTTCAGCAGACCAACATAAAAAAGTACTCCTTACTTTTCCCTTAAAGTATTACTCCAATTATCATAACCATTACATCCTGCTGTAGTGATTATGAAGTCAGGACGGCACTGGCCTGGTTCATGGGCTCTGATGCCCCCTGGTGGTCCAGTGATGCACTTCTGCAGAGTGGCCGAATGCTGGAAGTGACGACCATCACCATTCATTGGCTGAGAGTGTCAGTTGATAACTCTCCCACAATGAGTGCCATTCTATGCCACGAATGAGTCCGGAATTCTTCTGTTACCCCAATAATGCTGCCGGCAGTGGGGTTACAGTAGAGAGGTTAAACAGAGGGCTCAAATCACTTAAATGGTCATGGTGCTTGGAGTAACCGTTTAATTGCAAAGTGTTTAGTCCTCAACACTTACAGTATTTTAAATACTAGGGGGATCAATGATTCCTTATCATACAGGAGACATGATAGCATGTTTTTATTTTTCTGTTAAATGTCCATTTCTCTAATGTTCCAGTGTTTCCTTGTCATCTACACTATTAATCATAAAAAGTTAGTATTCTCAATCTAACATCCATGTCAATATCTATAGTATCTATAGCATTTACAAAAAAAGAGTAACAGAATAAGTATTCTAATAATCCTAATCCCAAAAAGTGTACTCGCTAAAATGATAAAAGGCAATTGCAAATTTGAGCAAAAAAAGGCGAATTAAAAAAAAATAATTCACCATTTTCATATTGGCTAATTTTTCCCTAAACTCTGCAGTTGTTCCATCAGCTCTAGGCAATTCTCAATTGAGTGAATATCTCCATAACTGGTGAATGCACTACACAAATTGAGGTGGGCATGTGAACTTGATTATAAAATAAAAAACTGAGCCAAGTTGACTTCAGAGTCATATTGCCCAAATTCTTGCCAGTTGCCTTCTCAGTGTTTTATATACTTTCAATACAAAATGAATTTACCGTCAGTTTGGAAGGTGCCAGATAATCCCTGAATGAGAAGGAAAAAAAGAAAAGCATATTTTCATCATTGACGCATATCTTCATTAATTGTCATTTAATGAGTGCGAGAACACTGAACCGATGTGTAGAAATAATATAATGCTTTAGTTAAATACCTCGAAAGATAAAATCCAGGATTGTAGAATTATAAAGGTTGCCACTGTGCAGATTGTTCTGACCTCCATGGCAGCTATCTGGGAAATAAAATAGATTGTTTTTTCAGTTCTTTACTGTGTACCTAAGAAGGTATGTCTGTTTTACAGAAGGTTGGGCCATTGCTTGAATACAGATGGGAATTAATAATAATGACAAAGCATGGTTACACAGAAAACCATATTCTAGACTCTCTGAAAGCGGCCAGTGAATACATTTTAAAATGTATCTATTTATTTGCAGAAATTCAAAATTTAGGTTATAAGGGCCAAGGCAATAAGAAGATACACTTGATGCAAGCCATGGACTGTTTTTGTTAAAAATGTTAAAATAAGCAGAGCTTCTGCTGCCCCCATACTGCATTGTAACACAAGTAACAGCTGATGGGAACATGAGTCTTCGTGAGCAATACACAATAAATGCCCATGATGTGATTGCACACATGCGAGAACATCTATGGAATATAGAGCACAGGGAAATCAATTCTGTCTACCAAGTTGTACACGAACAAATTCTTGGGCTCAGTTCTACCAACAAGGAAAATAATTCTACAAACAAATCTGTATTAAAAGGACAGTGCGAGGGGAGAGGGATGGAACTGAGAAAAAGGGACATGGGGAGCGAGTGGTAAGAACAATGGGGAAAAAGGCAATGGGAGCAAATAACATTTAGGCAGTAGGAAAAATGAGCATAAAAAGGAGACGAATAACAAGACAAAATATAAGCATTAGTGTAATGGGGAGGAATTGGCATGGAGCAATTACATGCAGAAAGAAGGTAAATTGTGGAAAGAGCCAAATTAATTGGGGTCAGTGTCAATGCTTGGGGGAGATGGGTATCAGATTTGGTTAAAATGCAATCAGAGCAGAAGAAAAGGGGAAGTCTCATTAAATAGAGGCAACTCCACTGACTAGTAACCATCTGACAACTAATAACCCAACAACAATGGAGACCTGCTTGTCTCACAAGTTACCTAAATGTTTAAGGAACCTGCGAGTTCCATGTTTTTTTACGCTTCATTGACACAGACCTGCGAGTCGTGTATTGCACCGTTCTATGTCATGCTTTATTTAAAAAAAAAAATGTATGATGGGAAAACCCCATGCCAAAATAAACAGATATTTAAACAGAGGCAACTTATTTGGGAGTGAGGTGATAAAGAAGGTTATATAGGGAAACACAGGGTGCTTGATAGGCCAGTAACAAGGGAAAAGAGTAACTGATATGGGAGGGAAGATAAGAAAATTGATGTAAAGGGACTTAATGAATACATAGGGAAGAGGTATTTTGGGAAAAGAGATTGAAAAACTGGGAGAGAGGCTTTGAAAGTCTTTTGGGAGGATCAATTAAAAGATTGGGGGATGGAAATGTAGAAGGACTTTTGAATGAAACTGTAATGAGGAGGGATTGGGAGAGGGTGGGCAGAGTGAGGGATAGAATACAATGGTTAAATGAACTTAGGGAGAATGAAACTGGAAAGCTAGAGTGAGAAGGGTATTCAGAAACGACACACGAGGGGGAGAAACAACGAGTGGAGGAGGTGGCTACCTACCAGAGATGGTGTTATTGTTGAGCCAGCTTTTCCCAACCAAGAACTCAAGCTACTGACAGCCAAGGATTTAATAATATCTCAGTTCTGTTCAAATAGGGATATTGACAAAATATGACCTCACCTCTCACACCCCGACACAACAGTACTGAAGCTCTCCATTTCCCATCTCCCTGCAACTTCCAGCAACCTCCAAGCCTCATCTCTCAAACCCAGAAACAATACTGAAGCTCTCCATTTTTTTCTTCTCAGCACATCCCACCCTCCCAGGTTCCTACTAAATAAATAGCATGCCCATCCAGCTCCTTTAAAGTCTCACTCAATTACCTCTCCTTTATATTCAACCAATAGCTACAACTCTCTGTTGAAATATATGAAACATTCCAGAAACATAGAATGTGACGGCAGATAAGAACCATTCGGCCCATCTAGTCTGCCCAATTTTCTAAATACTTTCATTAGTCCCTGGCCTTATCTTATAGATGGGATAGCCTTATGCCTATCCCACGCATGCTTAAACTCCTTTACTGTGTTAACCTCTACCACTTCAGCTGGAAGGCTATTCCATACATCCACTACCCTCTCAGTAAAGTAATACTTCCTGATATTATTTTTAAACCTCTGCCCCTCTAATTTAAGACTATGTCCTCTTGTTGTGGTAGTTTTTCTTCTTTTAAATATAGTCTCCTCCTTTACTGTTTTGATTCCCTTTCTGTATTTAAATGTTTCCATCATATCCCCCCTGTCTCGTCTTTCCTCCAAGCTATACATGTTAAGATCATTTAACCTTTCCTGGTAAGTTTTATCCTGCAATCCATGAACCAGTTTAGTAGCCCTTCTCTGAACCCTCTCTAAGGTATCAATATCCTTCTGAAGATACGGTCTCCAGTACTGTGTACAATACTCCAAGTGAGGTCTTACCAGTGTTCTGTATAATGGCATGAGCACTTCCCTCTTTCTACTGCTAATACCTCTCCCTATACAACCAAGCATTCTGCTAGCATTTCCTGCTGCTCTATTACATTGTCTGCCTACCTTTAAGTCATCAGAAATAATCACCCCTAAATCCCTTTCCTCAGATGTTGAGGTTAGGACTCTATCAAATATTCTGTACTCTGCCCTTGGGTTTTTACATTCAAGATGCATTATCTTGCACTTATCCACATTAAATGTCAGTTGTCACAGCTCTGACCATTTTTCAAGTTTACCTAGACTCATCTAGGTTTTGTTTTATTAGTTGAATCAGTCAATTCATGCTGAACTTGTGGAGCCTGAAAGCCTCAGCAAACAATGGGAGATCACATGGAAAAACAGACTGCGTATTAATTGTATTGTCATTTACTGCAAAAGGCAATGTCACCATGATCTGCTCAGCCGGCCATCGTGGTTGTTACGCACTGATGGGTTTATGAAATTACATAGACACAAAAAGTATAGAATGTGCATTGCCACAGCTTTTGGAACACAACATCTCGTGGCCTCTAAAGATGCCTCATACAAGAGAAAATGAAAATTGCTGGTATATAAATATATATTTGTCTGGGTAAAGTAACATGCGTCTGTGTGTAAATACGGAAGGGTGTATCAGCACCTGCAAGTATGTATCTGTGAATCTGCATTCTCGTTTCTGTGTATTTATTGTGAACTTTAATCTGTGTTTGTGTGTTTGAGGGGAGGGGGAGTCATTTTATAAAGTTCCCTGAGATTTCAGATGGCAGTCTATCAATGATTATGTAGCTATCTATATTTGTGTCAGGCAGTCTGTATTTCTGTACGTGTGTGCCTGGGGATCATCAGGTAACTGCCTTAATAGGCCTAAAAAGAGCCCCCAGGCCTTGCCTCCTCACTGCCTAGTACCTTGAGACCTCACATGGTGACAGGTATCAGATCCCGGCCACCTTAGCACCATGACCAGTGCAGTCTGAAATATCATAGGTTGACGTGGACCAAATGTACTATTTGGAGTAGGATATATCGGACAGCAGTATTGAACACAGTTCTTCCTCAGAAACCCTTTCAAATCCTAAGGGAATTTTGGAGAAAATTACTGTATCTTTTAGGATATCACATGCAGGGTCAAATACCAGACAATGGTCCAATTCACAAGTAAGGAGAAAGAAGACCATAATGGTCAATATTAATAATCATTCCATTATTAAATAGAAACATAGAAACATAGAATGTGATGGCAGATAAGAACCATTCGGCCCATCTAGTCTGCCCAATTTTCTAAATACTTTCATTAGTCCCTAGTCTTATCTTATAGTTTAACTTTAACCTTTCCTGGTAAGTTTTATCCCGCAATCCATGAACCAGTTTAGTAGCCCTTCTCTGAACCCTCTCTAAGGTATCAATATCCTTCTGAAGATACGGTCTCCAGTACTGTGTACAATACTCCAAGTGAGGTCTCACCAGTGTTCTGTATAATGGCATGAGCACTTCCCTCTTTCTACTGCTAATACCTCTCCCTATACAACCAAGCATTCTGCTAGCATTTCCTGCTGCTCTATTACATTGTCTGCCTACCTTTAAGTCATCAGAAATAATCACCCCTAAATCCCTTTCCTCATATGTTGAGGTTAGGACTCTATCAAATATTCTGTACTCTGCCCTTGGGTTTTTACGTCCAAGATGCATTATCTTGCACTTATCCACATTAAATGTCAGTTGCCACAATTCTGACCATTTTTCTAGTTTACCTAAATCATTTGTCATTTGGCTTATCCCTCCTGGAACATCAACCCTGTTACATATCTTAGTATCATCAGCAAAAAGACATACCTTACCATCAAGACCTTCTGCAATATCACTAATAAAATAGTCTAAACTAACTACAAACTGAGATTCTAAGCAAAGGCCTATCATGTGTACATACCCCCCACTTTGATAAGTTCAACTGGGTGAAGGATGTACACCTTTTGGAAGAAAACTTGCACTTTATAAATACCACACCAGTCAACTTGAGGGGAAAAAGCATCAATTACTAAGACCTACAAACTTTGTTCCAGTAAAAAGTTGAAATAAAAAGTATTTTCAGATATATATGATGTGCAGAGGTATGAAGGGGATTGAGCTTGACTCAAACCAGAACATTTAGTTTTCATACCATCTGACAAGTGTGGGAATGTGACCATATTTGATAGACAAGGCTACAAAACCACTTTTTTGGTAATCAGCCTCAGCCGTTACCTCACCCAAGTCATGGGGCGTAAGAATAAGAAATATCAGGTGGACAAACCAATATCTGTGGATGCCACAGACCACAGACCACCCAAAAAAGCCTGTCATGGTGCCTCCGCTGGTCAGGCTTTCATGGTCCTCCAGTGAGGTGCTCTTTGATGAGGAAAGAAATACACTGACTTACCTCTGGGGTAAGCCGGGAAGCCGCCAGTTATGTAGGAGATAAGGTAAGCAGCCTCTTGGACGAGCTCCGCAGAACATTAAGGCCAACATTAAACATTTTTGGAAGGAGATCAATGGGATCTCTGCATGCTTCCACAACGAAGATAAATATTGCTGCCCATGAGAACCAGATTGCAAACTTAAAACTGGGGTTGCAGACACTACAGTACTCATGATACAGCAGCAAGTGAGATTTCTGGCGCTTGTTCCTTATGTGTACAGCAGCTAAAACTTTCCCAAATCAGAGTCTCTTCTTTCTGGTCATTGATGCAAGTAAAACGGGGGATGTAGGTTAACAATTAAAATCCTTGGGTGGAGTCCAAGTGAGCAAATATAAGGGAGAAAACAAAATGGGACAGGAATACTAATACAGTGTAGTATGTCTATAACAGCAGAGGCAGAATATAAGGAAAAAATATATTGCACTCACACTATTCTGGAGCTCAAGATCAGCTCCAGATCACAGCGTATGGATGGTACAATCCCAGTCTGTGGATGTTAGGATGGTCCTGATTTCCTCTGGTATTGTATCCCTGTGCCAATAATCCACGTGGTGTATTCCAGATGATGCTCCAGTGATATATATAGGATATAAAAGAACAGAAATAGTGTTCTCTGACATCTTTTTATTAGAGAAGCTGTATCTCACATTCCCGGGTGGGGGACAAACCACCTATGCTGTAAAGGACTGAGCAATCCCTATTTTGCTCATCCATTGTGAGTACATCTCTCTCTTTATTTTATTTGTTTTATTAATACAGAGAACACTATTCCTGTTCTTTTATATCCTATATATATATCACTGGAGCATCATCTGGAATACACCACGTGGATTATTGGCAAAGGGATACGATACCAGAGATAATCAGGACCATCCTAACATCCACAGACGGGGATTGTACCGTCCATACGCTGTGATCTGGAGCTGATCTTGAGCTCCAGAAAAGTGTGAGTGCAACATATTTGTTCCTTATATTCTGCCTCTGCTGTTATAGACCTTGTGACGAGACCAATCTCGCCACTGTGCATTGGAGGAGCCTGGTTGCCTGCCTGCTGCCTTTTGACTATGGACCGGCATTTAAATATTTAATTTTCCTATGCAGAAAGGTCTATTCCTGTATTTCTGCCCTGGCGTTCAGTAGATTCTCGGATTTACTGAATGAACTCATTTAACCCAGATAGCTATGCCATGGAGCCTATTCGTGTAATAAAAGACTTTGGCTCCATGGCAATTGAACTGTATGTGTGTGGTCTGAGCGCCATTCAGTATTAATGTGCGCTCAGACCTAAGCTATCTGGGCATATGTTGCATGTCTGTATTTTATGTCATAAATGTAACCTTGCGTATTTTATTCTATTTTACTGTCTTTTTACTGCCATGTGCTTAATGGAGTTTTGTCTCTGTCCCTGGAGATAATTGGATTACTTCCCAATTATCTCCAGGATAGAAGACTCTGTGGAACTGGTTTTGGGCAGAAAAGCCATGCTTCATTTGGTCACAAAGGACTTCGATCTATCTTTTGAACCAATGGACCAATTTGGATGATTTTGACATATGTTTGTATTTGGAGTATGCTGATTCTGAAAATGTAAGTTATGTGAATGTGATGCATTCTTTTCAAGTTATGAATAATGTGGAAAAACTATATTTCTCTGGCTGTGATAATTAAATTACCCATTGTGTAAGGTAATTGTATCACAGGCAGAGGGGAGGATTTTGTGTGGGAGTGTCTGAGTGTATTGTACGTGTTTATTGGTTGTTTTCCAAAACCCTGTGGGTGTTACTAATGTGTAAGAATGTGTATATAAGAACAATAAACCCACAGCTCTGTCTGTTCCTGCTTGACCCTCAAAACGGAGCCTTGCCTCATTCTTGGGGGGATTTACTGTATGCTGTTAGAGACTGATTGCCAGGAGTGTAAGCCGCTTGGGTGCTTTTCCTGTTCAGCTGCTAGCAGCTATTCGTGGGGTTCCAGTTTGGGAGTTTGCAGCATTCCCTTGTATACAGTTTGGGAGTTTGGTGTTCTGCAGTAGCTGTGCCTGTGTCTCTGGAAGGGAAGATCTACTAAATGGCTTTTAGCCCCTTTTATGCCTGGGGGTGCCGTTACAGACCTACTACACTATTTTAGTATTCCTGTCCCATTTTGTTTTCTCCCTTATATTGGCTCCATTGGACTCCACACAAGGATTTTAATTATTAAGCACTGCTTCCCTACATCCCCCGTTTTACTACAGCAGTCATGGAAGAGAGGAGGTGCTGGAAAAATATAAAAATGCATGGCCTGCCAGAAGCCATTGAAGCTGCAGAGATACCGCATCTATTTTGCAGGTTACTTACTCACCTCTTCTCTGCAAAACAAGCTAAAGCAATACTTCTAGACGGATGGTACCAAATACCTAAACCTGATCCTGGAACAAGCAGAGACAGACTGATGTTCATGGCTTCGATCTGCAATAAGTCTCCACTTTGCTTTGAGTATCACTCGCTCGCTTACCTCCTTTCACGATTTATCTAGAACCACCCTGGATTGGCAGAGGTTCTTGTGGCCTTTGACCAAGGAACTTGCAACTTGTAAGATTCAGTACAAATAGGGAACGCCAAGGTGTCTGCTGATCACTCAATATTATGTCACTATTATAGCAATGCTTTGTTCAGGACATCCATGATGCAGAAGCTTGATCTGATTACCAACTGAACCGAACCGACCAGTCCACCTCTCTCAGCAAAAACAACTATTGGGATCCAGAGAGGGTTTGCCCAATTGTGCCAGCAGCTCAGAGAGGGGATACTCACTCTGCTTTGATACAGTGACTGTCAAACATGCAGCCTTATGGTTTTCTGTTTTGTTTACATTTACATTTATTTAGCTTTTGTGATATTTTTTTCTGTGATATATATAGTGTATCCAGGTTGCATAGTCTTATACCTTCATTTACTCTTTACCTGCTGGCCAATGTGATTCTGTCCCCATCTTACCCTCGCCCCACCCCATCATCTACAGGGCAAATACTTGTTCCAATAGTTATACTATATTAAAGTGGGTGCATCAGTCTCTCAAATTTAGCCTTTTTACCTCTAGTTACCTTTTATTGTAATTGAGGCGTCTATTGCTCTTTGCTCCAGCTAGTTTATCAAAACTAAACAAAAGTCCTATTACGGAGCAAAACGCAAATTTCCCTTTTGCAACTTTAGCTTACTTTTATAAACGATAAAACCCGCAATACTACAGTTTTCTGGAGGGTCACCTACTCGCATGTTGTGTATATTCTTTACTTATTGTGACTTTGCTGTGCTACCGTATTGTATCTGCAGTTTTTATGGATTGTGTATAAATTAAGATTTACCAAAAGAAAAAGGAATGACTTAACATTCTGTTCGACCACTCTACTTATAAGATCCTTATAGTCCTCAAGAACTTCCTGGATGATGGCCTACAACCAAGATCATAGTGTGATTTTATATGACCAACTCTATCTACCTTATGTTGTCTACCAATAGGTAGGTAAAAATCTTGATCACCCACCAGGTAAACCGATTGTCTTGGGCTAAAATAACTGTGCTCAAATCGTCAGCATTTACATCACTCGTATGTTAAATCACTTTGCAGAAGTATTAATTTCATTGCAACTTTAGTTATTCAACTGGTAGCACTTGCTTTACTTGTTGTGGCGGCCACATGGAGAGGAATATAGGTTTCGCCACCAAGGACGTCTTTTTCCCCTATCTGGAACTCTGCTTCCCCGGATTCAGTAAGACCGCTGTTAGAGATTATAGCTTTCCAAGGAATATAGCTCTGGAGTGAGTATAGCTTTCGCCCACAGACATTAGTCAAGACTTAATGCTGGGAGTGAACTGACTTTATTATGGGCCACACACAGCCTTTTATGCATAGGCCCCTACATGGGGTCTCTTATACAAAAATTCAGAGTTTTTCTTCCCAAGATCCTCTGTGCCTGAGAGATAATTGTGTCAGAAAAAACTATAACTCAATTATCTCTCAGATACAGAACAATCTACAATATTTTACAACACCCCAAAACAGATATAGTATTACAAGGGACCCCATCAAGTCCTATATCCCTGGATAGCCTGGATCTGAGCACACAACATATCTAAGAAGCGCTCAGATCCCACAAATACAGCCGAATCGTCAACGGGGTAAAATTTTGACCGACCGCACAAAATTTGGTCTCTTTCAGGAATCCAAAACCGAACAAAACACTGAATGTAGTCCATGCGAACAATCTCACCGAACAGTGCTCTTCTGAGATAGTAGAAACGAAAGCAGGAGAGGATGAAAGTTCAGTGGTGTTTGCGAGTTAGAGTGTCTGATTTTAGTTCCATGCACTTGACGACCGAACACCGCTGCCTGCTTTTGTGCAACTAGATCACTTAGAATACCGAGTTGTGAATCGGTTATAGAGATGTCAATAGGGGTCAACGAGGTTAACAAGCTCCCAGGTGGGCCGAGTATGGAAGGTATAACAAGGGGAATTTGTGGTTTGGTTCGGTTACCGAACAAAAATTGAAAAAGGATGGGAACAAAGTATTTCAGTGACAGGGTGTTCTGTCACACTTTTGAACTATCTTCACTAGCTTAGGTCATGTATAGGGTTTCTGCTCAATTATAGGTCCATGTCGTGGCCCCAGGGACAGAGTAGCATTTACTCTAAAATAGGAACAGGGGAGAATAAGAATAATAAGATCTTGTAAATCGGTTAACACGTTTCTTGCTTATAATCATGTATTTATTTTCACCTTTCTAAAGCGGTCTTTAAATAATAATCGAAACGGATACATATCTTTTCAATCAACTGTTTATACATCTCATCTATATTGAGTAGGGCCAGGCCAGCTATACTTTTGCTTTCAGGCATCTATATGAACAATGCTTAATGTGGAACATTGTAAGTAATGACACTATGGGTAAAAACAACATGATAGATGATGAAAATCTGTCGTTTTTTCATGTTTGCCACATCCTGAACTTTACGTACCTGGTACACCCTTGAATTAGATGTAGAATCCAAATGTGTCCTATCAACGAAACAGTGCACTAGTAATAAAGTGTGGATTGAAAAAAATCCAACATATACCAGTTTGAGACTAGCTGCACATATGACTTTAATATGACTGATGTTTTTATCACCTGCTATGCAAATTGAACTATAATAACACATGAGGCTCCTACAGGGTTTAGAAGGCTATTAACAGAGCAGGGGATAATAGTCTAAAACAGAATGCGCAATAAAAAAGGACATATAAACATTAGATCTCACTTTACAGGAAGTGTTTAGGAAGGCTGTTCATGTTGCTTTCTGCAGTCATTTAACTCCTAAATTGCAAAATTGAGCATTGAGAGTGCATGGGGCATGATCTATACACCAAATCCACAACAGGATCTTTGTGATCATCTTAACCCCTTAAGGACCAAACTTCTGGAATAAAAGGGAATCATGACATGTAACACATATCATGTGTCCTTAAGGGGTTAAAGTAGATTGTGACTGCAAGCAACTACTGTGTTTGTCTTAATTATTTGAAAATTGTTAAATACTTGCAGTAAAGGCCTTTCCCTTATTTGCAGTGCTTACATATTTGAATCTTATTGCACTCACAGTTTTGGACATCGGGGTTGTGTGTCTACTTAATAGTATATAATGTATGTTTTCTTTATTCTATTGCATTTTTAAATGTTATCCACTTTGTGCATCAATTAATTACTAAAATTAAAGTGGGGAAAAAAATTTAGTTTAGATTTTATTTTCATGCAAGCTACACCTCTTACCTTGTATAACTTGCTTATACAATAAGAATTATTTTATAAGTTGATAAACCAATGGAGCTCAAACAGGAATACAAGGTAATGAGACTCCAGGTGAAATGAAGTTTAAATTTAGTGTCTTGTTAACAGGACAATACAGGTAACGTCTTACAATGGAGGGAATTGAAGTGTAATCCATAAAAATATGAACTAGGAGCACACCCATTCTAGGATCTCACTTAATCCGCACAGCGACAAAAGGATATATAGTCGCAGCCGTAAACGTAATGGTTGCATGAAACCGTAACTTCATCTGAACAAAGGGCTACTCTATGTAAATGAATATTACGGTAACTCCCAAGGTGGAGGAGGAAAATATGAAAAGGTTCTGTTACATGATCTTTGGTCTAAGTGTGTGGATATAGGATATAGGTCAGGTAACGATTGTAACTTGTATTAGCTGCAAGAGGAAAAAACAGAGGATTCTACTTAAATATGAGAAGGTGAGGTGTATTTAATATTATTATTTTATTATTTATATAGCGCTGTACTGAAAATACTTTATTAATAGCCTTTATAATTACTTTTGCACAATCAAAGCTAAATCTGATACAGAGCTCGAAATCACTAAATGCCAAACTCAAGAGAATGGAAAATTGAATTGCAAAAGTCAAGAAAAAAAATCTGATTTGGTAAAATACATTATAAAAAAATAACTAAAAAAAAATACAAAAATAAACAGTTTTAAAGTTATTTACTAAATTGAGAATGTAAGGTAATTGCAAAGTAAATTTCAGATTTAAGTCCAGAGTTGCCAAACTGAAAGCATTGCTGACAAATTATTTTTTAAATTTTTTTGGCCTAAATTTAAAATTCACTTTTTAACCCTTATGAATTCCCACTTTAGAGAATAATACTGTCAGAAGTCCTGTTTTATATAGTTTGATGACTGAACTGTACCTTGTCATCAGTTTGAAGTTTGCGATTACTCTGTTTAGATAGGCTAAGGGGGGTTTACACAGTGCAAAAATGTCTTTAAAAAATGCAGTTAATTGCGTTGACTGTGGCTGTCATATGTACTGGCGGCTGTTCCATTTTTTTACAAGGTATTGGGTATAATCACGGTGAGAAAACGGGGGAAGAGATCAAATCTAACTTTGCTGCTTGTAGTACAATTGACCCTTAAAACATGCTTTGGTTGAGGGGCGATAGACTATAAAATTAGACCAGAAATGCTGACTTGCTGAATAAGAGGGGAAAAAATACGTAAATAAAAATTGTGCCTCTAGTTTCCTCTCATGAATCAAATTCGAAGAATAAATACATTTTTAAAAGTGCAGAAACAAAATTACCTAGAATCACACAGAGCAAGCCAATTAGGATCAGCAACAGACGGAAGGGTATTAAAGGGTTTAAACGTTCTATTGTTTTCTTTTCAGTTAAAAATATGGTTTATAATATGGCGCTGGGCGTGTAGGATCATGACTCAGTCATTCCTAAATTATGTGCATTGTGCAAGTCCTACTCCATTACTTTCCTCTGGCTACAGTGTAACTTATCTGACAGTGTACATAGAACAAGGAGTCAGAACACCTCAATGCCGAATCAGGATGAGCACCAGGACATACCTCATACTAATTTACTATCTCCTAGGAGCTGGCCTGTTTTTACCTTTGCAGGTGAGCATTTTATATCAAAGCTACAGGTAATACAATACGGATCTAAAACGAGCACAAATTCTAAATGACTCCTTGTATGATAGTATGGGGATTCAAACACGGGGGGTTACATATAAAGACTGACTCTGCAGCAAAGTTCGAGATGTTCTACAATCTCCATGGAAACCAATTAAATAGCTCTTGATTACCGCTCCATTTGTGGCACGCCACCAGAATTGTTTTTAATATATAACATTCAGCGTTTCCAAAGTCAGATTGTATTTCAAATCAGCAATTAAATGGTTGGTCACATTAAATTAAGTCTAGGAAAGTTAATGTTGTTAAATTGCTTATTAAGATTTTACTTCTATCCTGCAGGATGCATTCTCTGTTACTATAAAACTTAAAGGAACACTATATAGGGAATGCCAACACATTATAAAAAAATTGCGATTTTATATTCTCTTACAGCTTTACAAAATAGTGCATGTAGGTTATAAAAGACATTATGCAGAGACAAATTGCTTTTCAGAAGCATTTAAAGGACAAATGTCACATTAAAACCAACAATCCCTCCAATATGTCTTAAAAGAAAATACATTTTAAATGAAGTATATGTAAGAAAGAGGAAAACCACATGGCTACTTTAAGTATAGCATAGGATCCTTCTGCGATATACATAAACATTTGATCAGACAGTGTTTGAAAACTGGCAATCTGACATTATAGAGACTGTTTTTCAAACTCCGACCCAAGGTGAATGTATATGGCTGAAGGATGCTTTCATATAATAAAGGTAGACACGAGTTTAATTTTTACATATATATTTACTTTCAAAATGTCATGAGAAGATAGTTATATTAAAAAAGGTAGTTGTCGTACAAAATATTAAGATTTGGTGGAATCCTTCCTGTACAAACCAGCTTACAATCTTTCTGAATCTTTTAATCAGAGTTTGTTATAAAAAACAAATATCAAATAAGCAACAAGTTATGTTCTCCTGGTATGGGATCAATGCCAATGCATTTGTACCTAAATGTATCTAAAATCTTCGTAAAGACAAACCACAATTTGTAGCTGAAGTTCTGTTCCTATACTGCATTTCTGGACACTTGCTTGGGTCTTGAGACCGTGATTTGTATAAGTGGAGGAAAAAAATATATAATTATTTCAAGGGGTTTTATAAAGTGTGATGAAGTGATAAAGAATGATAAACAAAAAATGAATATAAAAGTGTAAACAGCTAGTGCAAATATATATTTATACTTGGTTTTTTTCAATTAAAAAGCATCTGAAAATATTACAGCCATAATGTTGGGCGATGTAAACTTGTAACGGTTACAAACAGTATCCTTGCACCAAAGTAAAATTGATATAGACCACAGAATAAAGAAAGTTGTGGCAAGAAAAACATAAATACATTCAATTTCTTACAAAATATTGTCACGAGCTGTGACATTCTGTCATTCAAGTCATTATCCATTTGATCTGGTCAGTTCCAATTTCCGTTTAAACTCACCAAGGGTTAGGGTTAGGGTTTGGGTTAGGGAGCACCAGCCGCGGTCCCCATATTGGTGTTTTAATAGAATGTCATTTAATCTAGGATCTAAATGCTATAAAATCCACCATACGTACCACGCAACTTTATTTTGTATTTCCAGATTTCATCTTCAGTTGACACCTCTGTCGGTGAGTTCGTAATTGACGAGGAGGTATATTTAATGGTACCATATGCATACAGCCGAAGCCTTCAGAGAAATGTTACATTTGCGTCTTATGAACAGCTGTGTAAAGATACTATTTTAGAAAAAAAAATGCATCAAATCTCAGAATAAAATGGAATGTCATTGAAAAAAATTATACATTATTGAAAAATTTATATAAAACACACGGAACGTCGGGAGGGTTAGTTAGCTAACAATGTCCAATCATTGGTCACTGTATATTTCCCCTCTCATCAGAATGCCCATATGAACCAGACTATAATTTTACCTCCCTATAGGGTGAGATTTCTGCCTTCAACGGATAAAGATACTGGAAGTTGAGTAAACAATTTCTTATTAAGGAAACAAGTGTGGTAAAGCTACTGTATCGGTTGCTACCCTTGTAGATGCCTCTTTTACCCCTTCTGCCATGCTCACAGCCAGCTGTTGAGGTGTGCAAGCACCACAGCACCACAGCAACCAATCATGCGCAAAGGAGATCGCTTGAGGTGACCACCACTCAGACATTATGTTAGACTAATTGATGTAGAAGGTAAATATTTTCACGTGGCACAGTTGCTGTTGTAGTGTTCATTCCTGGGCGGTAGGCCAGATCCAATCCAGGAGCGCTGGTGGAAGTATGACCTTACTGTCACAGCATTGAGCAATCTGCGTGTAGGCACAGCTTGGCTACTTACTGAGACAGCAAATTGCAGGAACAAAAAGGTTACTAGGGCAAAATGTACACAACAATAACAAAGGCCGCACAAAGCACATTTTTATTTGCTAACCACTCATATATCTACTGATGATACTGGACTTAGAATAATATGGAAATAAGCTAGACAGATAGAGATTGGAATGAGTTTGCACGGGGGTGGAAGGGCTTGAATATGTTCTGTATTATTAGCGGAATCTTGAAAAGATTTTAACAAGGGCATGGAATTCCGAGTTTTATTGGAAAGATTTAGCAAGAAATGTTATAAACCTTTCTTGCTTCCTAATATTCAAAATAATCATGAATTCGGTTTGCTGGCTTTGATACTCTATAAAAATAAATTGATAAAAAATGTAATTTTCTCTACCTAGAAGCAATTTTATATTAAAGGCTGATCAACTTGATTCTGTGCAGGAGGAAGTAACATTGAAGATGAAGAGGACGTGTTTAGTGTCATCGCTAAACATAACAAAGGCAAGTTTGACGCACAACCTGTACTTTGACAATATACGTGAAACCCATATGTTAATAAAATGAAATTGGGAGAAACAAGTTACAATGTAATGAACCCCCCCTTACTTTAGCATCAGTTAATCACCTTTCATTCAACTAATTAAAATGTCTTTAGAGACCTGATGAAACTGCCCATCTGTTCCTAGTGATAATTCCCACTGTGCACATGTCCATTATATTAGAGCCTCCAGTGGGTGTGGAAGGGTCTGGTACTTGCTTGTTGGTATAGGTGAAGGGGAAAAAAAGGCCAATCTGAATTTATGGAGGTCTTCACAAGATAACAGTGGAAAATACACCACACAAGCAGGAAGGTGGCCAGGAGAAGACAACGGGCATCTGCACTACATAATTTGCTAACTGGTTGCAAATGTTGACACCATTTGTGAATTAAAGATTCCTGTCCTATTCTGGTCACCCTTCTGCTGCACAGAGGCTATGAAGGAGGAAGTAACTAGCAGAGTATAACGGGCAGTTGTGTTGGTGGCAGTGCCCAATTCAGAAGTGGACTTTGTGGATTCACTGATCAAGTGGTTTGTGGTTAAACTCATTTTTTGGGTAGGTTCACATTTGGAGATAATTATTGCACAGATTAATTAAAAACATGTTCCGTTACAAAGGCAGTAAGAAGCTGATGACTCAAGGGGATATTGCTGTGCGTCTAAGTCGCAGTGCTCTCGGCTGTCCTTCGAAGTCTTGCTTTTGGCCTAAATCCGTCATGGGGATTGTTAACATTCCATACACACTATCATCTGACTACGGTAAGTCCAGCCTCAACTCCCTTATTGTGGTTTGTTAAATGATCAATACTGGACATTGCAGTTGAAATAAGAAGTCAACATATCACTGCTATCCAAATATGGGGGAAATTTTAAATTTATAATAAGGAAGTGTAAATTACCTTAGCAAAGTGGCAAGTGACAGAATGGGCCATGGGTGCCTGGGGAACTACCAGTTTTAGCTAAATCACTTAAATAGTTTAACTCAGAAACAAGGGATGCCACCTATAGATCAGGCTGGTCATTTAAAAATGGGACATGGCTGAAAAAAATGTCCTAAAATATGTAGAGAACAAGAAATTTACATTTAAAGACTGTCAGCTGAACAAAGTGTCTGAGTCCGGTTGTACGCATCACAATATAAAAGTAAAAATTTAGTGGAATAAATAAAAAAGGAAATTTAAGTGGATTGAGGAAATAAGTAAAATGCGCAATGCAGGCCCCAGTGACTTTATTTTGTAATATACACATAGGCCAATCTGATGCAGAAAAATAAGAACCAGATTAGACAAAGAATTCTTTGAGTGTTGCAGCATTTTTTCATCCTCTCCAGCCCCTGCGGATACTATGGTTATATTGTCTGCAATGCAAGAATATACAACTTTGACCTGTGTACACTTCACAGAACGGAAAACAGAGGTAGACTATGTCCAGATTCGATCTGTTGATGGGTAAGGAGAAATTAAAAAACGAAAACTCAAGGTTGAAAGTTATCAGAATAGAAAAAAAAAAGGAAAGAAAATTTTGTTTGCCAATCTTGTCTCAAATGTCCCTGAAATCTGCCATGTGTCTTTCCCCTCTTATAAGATGCTGGTCCTATCTGGGCAGGATCGGAGGTCCTCAGGATCTGTCATTGCTGAAGTACAGCTGTGTAGCCAAGGGTATAGTGCAACATGAGCTGAACCATGTGCTAGGCTTTGTCCACGAACACACAAGAAGTGACCGTGACAGCTACGTGGACATCGTTTGGGCAAACATTGCAAACGGTAGTAACTTCATAACCGACAATAAATAAATAAATAAATAAAAACATTTGGAAAACTATTCTCTAGATTATTAATTCAAAGCAAATTATCTAAATCCTAGAGAGAAAATAAACAAACAAAAAACAGCTGTGGTTTATGCTTTGTACATTAAATATAGAGCTAATTTAAGGAGCAGTTCAAAAATAGAAATTCCAACAAAGAACACAACCAGTATGAAATACTCCAGTGCTTAAAGTGGGCAGTTTTATAGTTCAATTTTGGAGGCCATAGACTACATGGTATTTTTGACAGTGGGTTTCCAGCCAATATACCATGAAATGCTGGTGTAGCTCAATCTACCTCAAAGTATGCCTCCAGCAAGTTAACTCCATTGCTGTAATAGGTTACATGCCACACTTAAGAGGTTTTCATTAAATATCAGCATTAAAATTGGGATTCCCATATATAGGTCAACCTTTGGTTACAAGTATGCAACCCCTTTTAGTATAGTATAGACAAAATATGATATTTGTAATCAGATGACAAAACAATAAAAAAATTTATATAGAGGGTATATGTTCTAGAACATCCATAACTCCCTTAACATTCAATGAATTAAACTCATGATTCCGCATATAACATAAAAATACAAAAAATGTAAACATGACCTACACCAAGCAAGAGTTGGACAGCTATAGAAGGTACGCTGGCTTCCTGTGGGAATATTGTAATCTTTGCCTTTTCGTGTATACGTTTTCAATACGTTATGTGATATGTATGTAGTCATTCATGGAGAGAAATATTTCATAACACAATCTGAGTTAATGTGCAGGTCATGCGAGCAACTTTGAGTCAGAACCAAACACCAACAACCTGTTTTCACCGTATGATTATACATCTGTAATGCACTATGGCCGGTAAGTGATCACAGAACCTTTGACTAAGAAAACTGGACTAAAGTCACAAGACATGTTTGCTGCTGGGAATTAAAACTGAATCTGGCTATATAATGAGTCAGATCCAAAATCAAGGCTTGGCAAAGGCCGGCATTGCCAGATACGTTTGGTGGAATAAGCAGTCATAAAAGATGGTTTGTCAAGTCCAACATATTGATTCATAGTGTCTAGAATGGTGTAAATGACATTGCACCTTAATCAAGCATAGGGTCGGACATTAACTTAACATTAGAGACAGAAGAATCAACAGACTTTGTATTGGGGAGTTGAGGGAGGCATGTTCGGATCAGAGAAGCATTTATAGAAAAGGGAAAATCATGTGAAGATAATATGTGGAATAAATGGTTAAACTGTTGGTAAACTGGTAAACTGTTCACAAACCTAGTTCTATGAATTCCTTACATTAAGATTGATTATTCAAAGATCAGCATATGGTTTTAAAATTTATAAACACATGATCCCTACCAGCCAAAATTTGTTTCCACAGATATGCTTTTAGCAATGTTCAGGGTCAACCCACCATCAATCCAAAACCTGATGCCACTGTACCTATTGGACAGAGATATGGACTGAGTAGCCTGGACCTCCTGAAGATAAACCGTCTCTATGAGTGTGGTGAGTAACTCAAGGATTTTTATTATGATTTATATTATTCAACCGTGATTTATTATGAGCATGGTAGCAAAAGGAAATACCCCAAACCATGAACTTGGATTCCTACTCAATAGCTAGAAAGGTTAACAAAGGAAAACATTGGGTATCAAATCTATAAATGGTCAGGGTTTGATATTTTATCATACCCATCATTTAAAGGTATCCAGGAGAATCTAATTATATTATGAGGAAACTGTGCACAAGACACTCAATGCATGATTGATCACCACTAAGCAGAGAGGTCACTCACTGCATGAACGGTTACCACTAAGCAGAGAGGTCACTCACTGCATGAACGGTTACCACTAAGCAGAGAGGTCACTCACTGCATGAATGGTCACCACAAAGCAGTAGAGAACAAACATTTGATTTGGGGCAAAAAGTTGGGGATTTTAGCACTGCATCCAAACTCTGCAACTTCACTGTTTGCTTAGCCCTCAAGGAGACATCATGCAGCACAATAGCTACTGGGTCAAGTTTGAATATTCTGAATTGAAATTCAAAAACATTAAACAATACTCCTTTTTCAACAACGTATCTTCTGGGTAAGTAAAGGAGCAGTGGGGAAATGTAATCGTCGACATCTGGCGTGATGAACGTTGTCTTCCCTTGTACTTCATGGATATGTTAGGGCAGCTGGCACCCTTACAATGCATGCATTATTCTAAATACATCATTAATCCTAAATTTAGACAACTCCCACCCAGTTCTATAACAGATGCATTGACAAATCAAGCTACAACAGGTTACAAGATACAGTTAAAAGCAGAGGCCACCTCAAGCTTGATTACACCTGTGAGTGAAGCCATAACACTTAAAGGTACAATCTCATTGAAATGGTCTGGGTGCAGTGTCCCTGTTCCCTGAACCTTCCAATGCAGGACCGGTGCAAGGATTTCTGCCGCCCTAGGCAGATACATACACTGACACACATAAACTCACTCAATGACACACACACACAGAAACTCACTGACAGACATACACTCACTCACTGACAGACACACACACAGACATACACTCACACAGACACTCACTGACAGACATACACACTTAGACACTCACTGACACACATACACTCACTCACTGACACACACTCACTTACTGTCAGACACACTCACTGACAAACACTCACTGACAGACATACACTTACTCACTGACAGACACACACACACACACACACACACAGAAACTCATTGACAGACATACACTCACTCACTGACAGACAGACACACACACTCACTCACTTACTGACAGATACTCACTGACATACATACACTCACTCACTGACAGACACACAGGCAGACACTCACTGAGAGACACACACACTCACAGACACTCACTCACTGACAGTCAAATACTCACTGACACACAGACTCACAAAATTTTATTATTTGAGGCAAATTCAGCCTCCCTACCTCCCTGGGGTCCAGTGTGGGGCAGCGCCTCACTCCTCCAGCTAGCTGTTTAGTATTCCGGAGCTGGAATGACATCATATTCCGGCTCCCGGCATCACAGAGGGCGCGCGAGGGAGGAGCGAGAGGCTGCAAGAAGAGCCTTCCCTCGCCGCCTGCCTTCTCCTGGCTCCTCCAGTCAGCGGCATTTGATGGCAGAGCAGGCACCTGTCATCAAGGTAAGAAGGTGCTCTGCCATACTGAAGGACAGCTTAGGGGGCACCCTGAGGTGGCCAGATGGCCACCTCCTGGGCCCCCTGTGACAGGGCTCGAGGAGCGAGGAGCGGCCCAGCACTGATGGGGGGGGCGGCTCAAGAGCCGCTTGCCCAGCGCTGCGGCCCAAGACAGGGAGAGTCCACCAGGAAATATCCCCACCAGGCCGACTTCACTTAACATTGGCGCCAGCCCTGTTGCAATGTAAAACATTGCCATTTTATAGAACGTGCAGTGTTAAGTGTGCCTCTAGTGGCTGACCATTCACACAGAGTTTAACTCCGTGCAACGACTCCGACACCCTCAGTTTGCATGACGGTGTCCACCACCTCTAAAAACCCAAAAGGAAAAAATTGAATCCCGTGACGTTGCTCGAGGAGGAATCTGATCATGCGCCAAGGGGGAGGGGGAAGGATTTTTAACTCTTAGCTACAAGGGGTCCACAGAGACAGAGTAACAACACAGTGTTAGGAATAGTGTTATATTTCTAATACTATAGTGTTACTTTAACTCTTTCAGTTCTGATGCTAGAATCATTTACTCTAGTATCTCTTGCATCACCCAAAAATTAAAGTTGGGCCTAAATAAGCAACTTGAAATGGCATTCCTCAATGGAGACTAATTAAAAGTATTTCTTTACGCACGATACCTGATCATTTAATTGCTGTGTGTTATCGCCTGTGGCATTAATTAAAGACTCCATTCCCAGATATCTGCAGCTTTTTGCTTACTGAGCCTTCTGGATTCCTGAGCTCTGCGAATATGGACACAGTTTCATTGAATAAATCAGTCTGCGTTTGGCTTATCCGTGTGCCTGCAACAAAGGTATTTTTGTCATGCTTAAGGCAAGAAGCAGATGTACCATGTACACTTTGCTAAACTTTGAAAAGTATAGTTTCAGTAAAAAAAACTTAGATACAATGTTAGCCTATTTTTATGAAATCAGAACAATGTTGATGGAAAATGTATAAATAGCAATTCTGGGGCAAAGTTGTAAAAGTAGAGCAGTCGCCATAGATATAGAACGCTGATATAGGGCAGGGATAGGCAACCTTCGGCACTCCTGATGTTGTGGACTACATCCCCCATGATGCTCTAATATATTCTTTGCACACACCCCAAGCCCTTGGCCCAGCTTGAATTTTATTTCTTATTTGAGTAGATTTTTAGTATATTTACAGGTACCTTTGCGTTGCAGATTTATTTGCAATTTAGAACCCTTCACACGGTTTCTGGATCCTCTGGCTACATGAAAGTTTATGATGGAGTCAGCAAGACATACCCTGTGCTGCTAAGCAGAGCGTTTCAGGGGGGAGTAGACCTCCCTCCGCTGGTGTCCTCTGGGAATTTGATGATGCTTGAGTTCTCAAGAATTGGATCTTCATCTTTCACAGCCTCGTACTCTACAGGTAAAGATTCATGTTGGTACCCGCATTCCTTAGTGTAAGTATATTTCCAGACTAGAGGTCTGTCCATGCTTGTCTGAGCAGGGCTCTAATCCAGACTTGCAATGAGCAGTACCTTCAGAATGTTGAGTGAAGAGTGATAAGGAATAACCCATCCAGTCCACCAAGAAACCATTAATATAGTTCTGAATGCTGTTCCCTTATGTTGAATGGGTAGGGCAGACTTTGATGTGCCTTCAGTAAATTTTCTGCTTGTGAAATTTATAATTATCTTTAAAGTTACCTGTGGGGAAACAGCAACATCTGTTAATGGAATCCTGTCATCCCCTGGATACCCCATAAGGTATCCGGCATCCACAGACTGCACCTGGACTATTGTGGCTGCTGTTGGCTACAGGGTAAGTGTAAAGCAAATTTATATAAAAAATAAATTAATTAAAAATTAAACACTAATTAAAAAGAAAAAGTATTATGGGTTTATTCACTGAATTTGTGTTAATATGTTGAAAGCCAAACTGCAAATTTTAAGTTACAAATAGCCAAATTGTGGCCATATAGAAAAATAATTATTTGGGGTAACACCCTGAACATGCATTATTTAATAGTTGTTCCAGGAGCCTAAAATGATCAAAGTATATACATAATGCACAGAAAATGTAAGCATATTTTCAAAAATGTTATAAACCAAATTAACAAAAAATAAATATATAACATGTCATGTTTGTGGGAGAGGAGAAGATTTAGTATATGATGTGGCCACATTGTTTATAAGAACACCACTTTTTCTAGTTGCCCTCTTATATCTACATTTTTAATTTGATGTGAGAAATACGTTCATGTGACCCAAGAAATTCTCCTACACCATAAGTGTTTTTCAAGACACGTCCAGAGCACATGTGCGCTTTGGGTGCTTGTCAAAAGCAAAACCTAAATTTTCTCTATGCTCTGATATTGAGGAATATCAAAGAAATGATCAAATTAAGACCAAAATCACTGTGTAGAAAGTTTGCCAGCAAAGGATTTAAGAGTTTCGGGTCTGTTACAATGTATCCCTGCAGATTTTACTGGAGTTTACTTTCTTTTCACTGGAGACATCGCGAAACTGTATTTATGACTACTTGTCCATCTCTGATGGGTCTTCATCTGGACCAGAAAAAGTCTGCGGTGTCAAAAAGATTCCTACGCTAGTCTCCACGGGGAGTTGGCTAATGCTGCAGTTCCACAGTGACAAAACAGTGCAGTGTGTTGGGCTTCAGGCAAAGTTCAGTTGGGGTGAGTAAAGAAAAAAATAAACAGGTAGCACTAAAATGGTTATAGCAAAGAAAAAAATATTGTAGTGTCTTACAATCAAGTTCATGTTTTCTTCCCACAGTATGTATTGCATTTACATTCTAGAATCAGAACACGATTAAGTTGTTTTTACATATTTATGTCCCATTTATTTACATACAATGTAGTCTATAAATGTTGATCAGATTTGATTTTACTTTTCCTCTCCCTAGTTGCATTACCATGAAGCAAGAGGCAGCAGTCAGACTGAATGAAAGATTCTGAATATGAGCACTGAACAAATGTTGAATGGTAAATAAAATGGCATGAGTCACAATCTGACCCAACTGCCAAAATCTATGTCAACCAATGACTTTTCAATGTTCTTTAAATGAAAGCTATCGTCCAGCAATTAGAATGTCAGTGGAAGATGGATACTTTACAGAGTACACTCAGATCACTTGTAGGAGACACAAAACTGTAGATAGACTGATAATTAAAATTCTCAGGGGCTGGACTTCTGTAGTGCAGTGGTTCCCAATCTTTTATTGGACCAAATTGTACTTCAATGTGAGAAGTGTTTCTAAGACACTTCTATTTTCTTAAAATTTGGTAAGGTTAAAGAGATATGCATATGTCTACCTGAGTTGACTTGCTAGTTGTGTTTACCAGTTGAGAATCTAGATTTTAAGCAGGACACTTATTAAAAGGACATTTAAGTACTGCATTTGGCTCGTAACAGCCCAGAAGTCAAAGTTTATGGCACAAGATACATTAGGATGCCATGACACTCATTGAAACCCATTGACTTAGTGTACGCTTAGAATACAACTTCCATACAACTCTTAAAATGTGTGTTAAATAGAACTCTGTACAATGTCCTTTCCCATTCCAAATATTCAAAGAACGTTAGCTTAATTAAGCCATTTTAGTGTATAAATTATGCCCCTGCAGTCTCAATGCTGAATCTTCTGACATTTGGGAGTTAAATATCTTTGTTGATGCAGCCATAGCCACACCTCCCTGCATGAGACTTACACAGCCTTCCTAAACACTTCCTGTAAAGAGTCGTCTAAGGTTTATACTTCCTTTATTGCAAATTCTGTTTGATGTAGAATTTCTTATCTCCTGCTCTGGTACTAGCTCGCTAGACCCTGCAGGAGCCTTGTGTGTAATTAAAGTTCAATTTACAGAGCAGGAAAAAAAAAATAAAGTAAGTTAAATCTGATTAAAAAAGAAACCATTTTGTTTCCATGCAGGCTGTGTGAGTCACAACTAGGGGAGGTGTGGCTAGAGCTGCATAAACAAAGTGATTTAACACCTAAATGGCAAAGAATTGAGAAGAGAGACAGCAGAAAAATGAACTATACACCCAAACTACTTCTTTAATCTAAAGTTGTTTTGGTGACTATAGTGTCCCTGAAACGTCAGGTCAGTCATAATAGAAACCGCCTGGACTAACAAAGACCATCATCTCCTGCTGCTCAAATGGCACTAATAATCATACAATTGCAAGGTTGATGCTTTGGAAATTGGGCAAAACAGACAAGTGTATATTGGAGAATGCCAAGTTATGCAATTGTTACAAATTAGTCATAAGCATAAACAGTGCATTAAACCAGAGGCCTTTCACACAATATTAAATATATTGATTATACGTACGGACTGAATCACTGTTTCCTCTGTCCTCCATGCAATGATTACACAGCTGTATCCGCCAAGGACTAGAAGAAAAAAAGTCTACTCCAGGTAGTATAAAGTATACATTGATACAATAAGATCATTACTTGCACAAAACCCTAAAGCATTAAAACATTAACTTAGAACTTTTAGGGAAAAACACATGGATATCATTGATGCTGAAAAAGAGAATGGTACAATACAAGAGAAACAAGCCACCTTTTACAGCTACTGGACAAATGTTAACTGGTTCTCCACTTAGATTTTGTTATGAGTTGATGTTGGTTCACACTCTAAAGCAGAACAGTTTTGAGTACAACAGCACTGGGACTGAGACTGATCGATCTGTCTAGCTTAACCCTAAGTGTCCAGTAAATTACTCTATCCAAAAGGTCTAATGCCCTGGTACCAGCTTGTAATAGGTTTGAGTGGTCAGAAAGCATTTACCTATTTGCTCATAAACCTGATCTCCATAATTAAATAAGGAAGGAACAGAAAGCTAGATCCATGGGGCTCTCAGTTATGGAACGATTGCCTATGTGGACCTCATTGGTTTAAGAGATTGTTCTATGCCTACCATGCCCCATATACTGATCTATACCTAAAATCCACCTTACTCCTTATGTTAGGATTAAATGACACATTTGTGGACATTATATGTGGGGAAATGTATTTCGTAGATGCCAGCATGATTCCAGTTGACACAATGTGTAGTCTGTCTTAGGGGAATGTAAAGGTCTCGGGGAGTTGAAAGACATTCCTGACAAAACCATTTGATAAAAGGTGGCAACAGTAGTCATGGAGTGATGTAGATAAATTAAAATTGTTAAGGCACTCTTACATGACATGAGTTTTTACCACAAGACCCCACCTTACAGTATCTGTCGAGAACACCTTATCAGACAAATTAATCAGCAAGGACAAAGATGTCTTTACAATGACTTGTAAGCCATTTATTTTGCCATGGTCTGACTAAAGTGGATAAAAAAAAGATTGAAACCTTTAAAGACACCCGTTGACTCTGGAACTGACAATATGACACAAAACTAGAGAATATATGTGGATAAGGCATTTAAACAGTTTGAGAGTTTGCCTCTTACTTGAGGAATACTAACCAAACACTACAGGAAAACCTAAAGGTACCTAATGGTGCTTTGCTATACAGCTAAGATGTATAGCTCAATACTACACGAACAGGGAGGAAAACATGTACAGCCTCGTGCATACTGGTATAGTACACATACAATGCTATACATGAAAAGATTGGAAAAAAGAGGGATGGAACAGCACACCTAAACAAATCTCTCCTAAAAACCCAAAAGAAATGGTAGAAATACAAAATAGTTTGTGCCAAGGGATAAAGGATAAAATAAGGATAAATAAGAGAGTAAAAATGGAGTAAAATATACAAAGTCTAATGGTGACAGTAAAACATATATTCAAAAACAAAAGTCCAAGATAAAAGCCTTATTGACAATAAAACGTGTAAGCCTGGTAGGGTTTGCTTGTATCCTCAGGTTTGTGTACCATCCAGATGTTTGGAATCCAGGGACATATAAGAAAAAAGAAAAGCTCCAATAGTGTAATACATTGAGAATAAAATATAGCTGAGTAAAAGGAAATTCAAGTGGTCTACTCACATGGAATAGAGCTAAAACCAGCTCTAGTATAGTGCGCTTGCAGTGGATTTGATCCCCCACTTCAGGGATATCGATGGGAGGTGTCAGTCAGCAGATATCTTAGCAGCAGGGTATATGTAAACATAAAAAAGTGCAACAATAGTGCTCTCTGTATAAAATATTATGAACCAGGAGTAAAAATAAGTTATACTCACATTTGCCTGAGCAGATAGCCCGCTCAGTATAATCAGCGTAGGTGGTAAATTCCCCACATGGGATACTTGGTGAGGTCTTTGCTGGAAAGATAAAATCAGGATGCCAGGTAACAAAAGAAAAAAGGTATATGGCACAATCTATATGTAAAAAATGGCCAAAATCTTTATTATAACAGAAAGTAATAGTAAATGTAATCCACAACGAGTTTCACCCACAATGGTCTTTATCAAGTGGTAATCAAGCAAATATCTGGCATACACAGTCTTATATAGGGTCACATACAGGATAAAATCAAAATTGGTGGTAGAATGACATCATGATCACGTGATTGTGATCATGACAAATAGTACTACATTTAAAATAGAAAAGAAACCTTATATTTTGTAAAATATATAGATAAAGATGTTGGTAGTGATAAAATAATATAAAAACTAAGGTTTAAAAATGAATAAAACGGATAAAAGTTGAATGGGCGTGAAGGGGGAGTGGCGAGCTGACGTCACGTATGGGCATCATGCTTGCAGGAATCCTAGTGAAGAGAACTGGGGGCAGGACGTAGGTTGCGTCAGCCAAGATCGTGTAGGATATGGGCAGTACACAGAAGAGTGAACATTGGAGAGAAGAGATCAGGGTGATAAAATAATCAGTGATAAACAGAGGAGTGTGTTTCTATACTATAAACTATAAAGGATCTTAACATGTATAGCTTGGAGCAAAGACGAGACAGGGGGGATATGATAGAAACATTTAAATATATAAAGGGAATCAACACAGTAAAGGAGGAGACTATATTTAAAAGAAGAAAAACTACCACAACAAGAGGACATAGTCTTAAATTAGAGGGACAAAGGTTTAAAAATAATATCAGGAAGTATTACTTTACTGAGAGGGTAGTGGATGCATGGAATAACCTTCCAGCTGAAGTGGTAGAGGTTAACACAGTAAAGGAGTTTAAGCATGCGTGGGTTAGGCATAAGGTTATCCTAACTATAAGATAAGGCTAGGGACTAATGAAAGTATTTAGAAAATTGGGCAGACTAAAAAATATGGGACTAGAGACAGAGAATAAAAATATTAATATTAAAATAAAATAAAGTACAAAAAATAAAAAAATAATAAAAACAAAAAATATGTGCTAATATATGAAATGAATAAAATGAAAAATGAAAAATAAAATAAAATAAAATTTGAAAGACATTGATGAAGAAATGTAAAAAATAATAATCAAGAGTTATAAAAAATTTAAAAGGTCTAAGACCCTCTGGGACTAAAGATCTTAAATTAAAAACCCACTGCATCTCTTTATTACCTAAAATATAATATGGCCTCCTCTACGAAAAGATTAACTTTATTTGTCTTGTAATCAGCTATTCTAGGCGCCTTTGCACTACATGCATCTTTATTTTAACCTCCTTTGTGACCATATTTCCTATGACAACATATTTAGCCCTGATTGTTTGCTAAACATGGTCTACTGGAAAAAAGAATAGAAGGCACTATACACATGTAGACTGTTTCAATGGTACTTGGGCCCTCTTGTGTACAAAGCAGGGTAATGTCTCTAAAAGAATCAGTTGAATTCTATTACTATTATTGTGTTGTAGTCAATGTGTACACCTATCGCTACGTTTTAAAAGATCCGCTTGACTCACTTATATGGGAACCCAGACCTCTCAGCTTGAATTCCTTTTTCAATGGAAATGAAGAGTTATTTACCCCATTCCACTCAAAT